AGGAAAAATGTCGAAGGAAAAAATATCGAAAGGAAAAATGTCGAAAGGGGAAAATATCGAAAGGAAAAATGTCGAAAAAAAGAATATTAAGATGAAAAATGTCCGATAAATGTTTTAGAGAATTCTGATTAGTGAAGGACATGTTTTATTATATGTTGTAATGCTAACATTCTAGAAGAGAGACAATATAAGTAACGAGAAAAAAAAATTGATAATGTGTCATTTTTTTTCGTTTAGCAACTATTAATGATAATCCATCTAAGTATTCCATAGCATTTATAGCACAGTCATAATATCGTTCCCCAAGATTATCGATACGGCGTTGAATAGCAATTGTTTTTGCTTGCTTTGGTCTTGGTCCTAAGCCTGCACTAAATTGAATACGCATATGATGAAAACGATTCTCTTCTCCAATCGTTTTAATCAATTTACTATTTGTATCTGTATGTATTTTAGCTGAACAACCATTAAGTGTACATATCCAATATTTGGTAGTAGTTGTTGTTTTATTCAATTTGAAAACATATTCGTCTGCTATTAGCAAAGGCTTTCCTTTATGTGAATTTATAAATGAAATAGCTGGAGGTTTTGCTTCAGTTAAATCTGATGAAGATGGAACAGCTGCAGCCATGAAGATAGAATTTTAGTTATATAATAGTTCTTTGTTCAACTCTTTTAGCTAGTTTATATCAGATATTAGTCATCCCCATTACTACTGGTTTAGAATCTAGACTAGTAGAATCATAAGAAAAGCAACAATAATTCGATATTTACTTTTCGACATTTTTCCTCTACTATATTTTTTCTTTCGACATTTTTCCTTTCGACATTTTTCCCTTTCGACATTTTTCCTTTTCGACATTTTTCCTTTCGACATTTTTCCTTTCGACATTTTTCCTTTCGACATTTCTCCAGCACACCGACTCATCGATCTATTCGTCGGAGTTACACAACGTTAGAAGTGCAGAAGAAAAGGACAAGATAAAAAAATCAAACTGTCTAAACTGTAGATTACAATATTTTCTCTCCGTCTTATCGCGTTGTATTTATCATATAATGAACGCAAACGACGCAAGGGTAAAGTGGTAAAATGTCGAAGGGAAAATGTCGAAAGTGAAAACGTCGAAAAAAAAATGCCGAAAGTAAAAATGTCGAAAGGTAGGATGTCGAACGAAAAAAATGTCGAAAGTTGTGAATGTAGAAAAACAAAATGTCGAAAGTGAAAATGTCGAAAGCGAAAATGTCGAAAACACTAATAGCATATATTTAGTCATCTCTTTTATTGACAAGAATTTTAGCAAATAAAGCACAAGTCAAAAACTATTCCAAAAAAAGAGAGATGAAGAAACATTATATGAATAGATTAAGATAACAAAATTTGACAATAAGGATAACTATTTTAAGAGAAGAAAAAGAGACAATGAATAAATTAAGAAACAGAACTTGGCAGTTGAATATAATATTGAAAAAGCTATTTTCAATTCATTTTTTTGTTCATATCTTTTGCGATGACCATCGACAAACCTTCGAGATGTTCATTCAAATCAATTTCATTATTTGAAAAATGTCTGCATAAGACATCAAGACGTTTTTCACAACACCAATATTTGACCTTGGGACATGACTTGTTTAACTGATATACAAATCCATCACAAATAATCACACGTTTGCCTTCGTTACTTTGTGAAAAAGTTATGATAGATGTAGTACTCACGTGGACATAAGCAAAGAATATAGAAAACAACTTGATAAATGTCTGTAGAAATGGACGCAAGCTGCTATATATATATGCAATTCAATAATTAATCAATATCGTTAGATTCGCTTAGCGAGACAATGCATCGTCAGTTGATAGAAATTTGTTTGAAGACGTCATGGACGTCTCTTTATTTCATTTTTCTCTTTTCGCCATTTTTTCTTTCGACGTTTTATTTTTCGTCAATACGCTTTTCGCCATTTTTACCTTTCGACATTTTCATTTTCGCCATTTTTCTTTCGACATTTTCACTTTCGACATTTTTTTTTTTCTACAATCTGCTTTTCTACGTCCTGTTTTTCTACATTTTGTCTTTCGACGTTTTCTCTTTCGACATTTAACCACCTATTCGACGCAAGTACCACTTCTTGCGTCCTCGTCACTTTCTTGGCAAAAGAACATGTATCGAAAAATCTCTCTTTTGCTTGCTGTTCTCTTTTTCTCGTTGACTAAGAATTCATGGCGGATACTCTCTTTTGCCGTATTGGCTTTCTGACAAGTGCAACATTGTCCTCATCATTAACAACCACAAAATATGATTTCTGGGTGTGGGGTGTGGATGCAGGTGTATGGGGTGTGAGTGTAGATGTGAGCCTATGAGTGTAGATGAAGAGAATAGCTTTCATGACACCCACACACTTACACACTCAATACATCAATTTTTGGTCGATTTCATCATTTTAATGCCATTTTTTTAATTTTTTAACTTCCTGAGTGTTGTTTATTGGCCGATAAAACTAGTCGTTTAACGACTGATAGAAGATCACCAGTAATAGAAACAAACAATTTCATTAAAGAGCATTCAAGTATTAACTACAGGGTGGCGCAAAAGTCGGTATACCGAAAAAACATTGAATATCTCCATTACGGCTCAGGCAAATGAGCTGATTTTTTTGTCAATGTTAGCGGCATGTTTAAGCTTTATATCTATAAAGACATACCTAGAGAGACCCTTTGTTAAGTATATCTTTCTTTTTTCCTATCTGTGACAAAGTAAAATTTTTTTTGTTAAGATCAATAGTTATACTTAACAAAGGATTTCTCTGAGCATGTCTTTATGGATATAGACTTTGAACATGCTTCTATCATTGATAAAAATATCAGCTCATTTGCCTGAGCTGTAATGGAGATATTCAATTTTTTTCGGTATACCGACTTTTGCGCCACCCTGTATGATGGGGAAACAGGAATTTTGCAGTGCTGACTTTGGCAGTTGACTTTGGGCAATTGTCGAAAGTTGTGTTTTCATTTGACTTTCGTCGTAAACGGGACTGACTTTCGCCAATTGCCGAAAGTTGTATTTTTTTTTGACGTTCGCACTAAATGGGATGGACTTTCGACAATTGCCAATAGTCTGGATTAGGTCTGAAACGCATCAGTAAATCACCTTTACCACACCGTACTTTCAGCAATTAGTGACTAACTGTTTGTTATAAAACCATAGCAATTAGTAAAGTAACGGATTCGAATGCGAACACCAATAATTGTAAGTTCAAAAAGTCGAGAAAATCTTAAGCTCACACTTTCGACAGCGTCAAATTACATGCTGTCAAAACTTTAGTAAATAACGAGTAAATTATCGAACGTACAATAATGTTCCATTTAATTAAATGATAACGTTAAGTGTCTATTAGAGTACTTTTGGTAATTGCCGAAGTTGTTTTTGCGAAATTCCGTTGCCAAAAAAACTGGACTTTCGACAATTGCCGAAAGTTCAATTGATTTGAGATCAAAATTTCAATACAAACATAACTTTCGGCAATTGTCGAAAGTCAACTGCCAAAGTCAGTACTGCAAAATTCATGCTATCCGTATGATGTTTTTTGAGGTCAAAAGAACTTGAAATTTTTCAGCACATTGACAAAATAATAAAGATTCACCTTTCTGGTAAAATACAAGCATTGAAAACTAGACAATCTCATTAGTTGTCTTATGAACTTTCCATGCACTAAATGTATGTCAAATACTTCAGAAGACCTCATGAGACTGCAAGGAACTTCATGGGACTTCACAACCAAGGTTTCTGTTGTTTCTTCCTCGGTTTTTTATATAGATACAAGCAAAAACATATTTCTATGTTTCAAATTGACAGTACCAAACTCAGGTTATTTAGTAATTTAGTACTCGACCAATACCATAGCAGCTTCTAGTATCCACTATTTTGAGATGCTTTTCTGAGTTTTTACTATAAATCTTGATAGTTGTTTGAATGCTGAATTGAAGACATTTATATCGAAATGCCTTCTCAAAGGAAACTAAGTTGAATAGACTATATTGTTCTTCTAAAGACGACAAAAAAATGATTGACCTAATCATACTATTTTGAGAGATGGATGAGAGAAGAATGCAACTCGACTTGTTCTGTCTTCTGTCCAATGAGCACAACTTCATCTTGATAAACGATGTCTAAAGCAGTTATTTTTGTCGTATAATCAAGGCAAGAAGTTCCAGTATTAGTACTACTATATGGCAAAAAGGAACAGATGATGTATGTGTCTGTTGGAAAAAATTTTTAATTACATTCAAAAAATAGTCAATATCCATTTGTAACTACCAGGTAAGATATTCCAAAGGAGTCGGACAATTGGATGATAATAGAGTGACGTAATGTGAATATAATTAGCTCTGAGTCTTTCAACATATGATTACGATCAAATTGTATGTCTACACATACTATTTTGGGACAGAGTCAAACTCGTTTCAGGTGGAGTCTGCCATGAAATACTTTATGCGTGTCTTTGGTTGGCTAAGTGGAATGTTTATATGATTCTGTCAAGTTATAAACGAGTTTAGGTTTTGATCGCTCATGTATGATTAATATTCAGAGCTCTATCAGATCTAATGCCTATTGACTCGTTATTTACAACAGAAGGCTTTTCCGACATTCTCGTGTCATCACTCAGGAATCAAGCTATGTCAAAAACATTCTTGTCATCTTTGAAATATCCAAAGTCCTCTATATATTAACAGACTTAGAGCCTCATCGTTCATAATTTACAAGAGATCTTCTATTTTGTCTCTTGAAAAAACAGTCATTTTTTGATAGTCGTGATGACAGTTCATAATTAAAAAGTTGTTTTGTCTAATACATCGCTAAGAAGGAAATGTACTTCAATTATCTTGTGTTCGTACAACGAAAAGAAATGAATCATATTTCAATACAAAAAAAAAAGAAAACTGATCGTCAGTAAGAAGCGTGTTCTTAGAACAATACAGTTAGTCAGATGCTGAAAATTTGTTGTGATTTGTAATAGTACTTGTTTTTCTAAACAGTAAAATCAATCAATCATAATATTCCTCATTCCTAATAGCTAAATAACAGAAAGATAATGTTCAAACATACCTCCGTCAATAGCGTTACAACAATTTTAATATAAATATGTGTGATTTTGTATATCTATGTCTGCGGCGTGCGAATGATATTTATACATGTCAGAGCTTCGCATGGGATAGGAAAGTCCCATGAGACAAACAGCCACTTATACAAACATTCTTTATAAGGAAAGATATAACTATTTTTGTCGTATAGATTGTGTTCTTGTCTACCGCAATAGAGTTAGCGAAAATAGAATTTTGTTCTATTCTGTAAAGGGTTATGTATTGTAGCAGTATGTGTGACGTGGGTATGAGAGAAGAGCATACCAACATCCACAAAAATAAGTGCAAATGGAAAATATATATCGAAGACAATATGATCTAATTTTATCATCACATATTATGACGAATAACTCTTATCGATATTTTATTATTATGATATTAGTTAAAGAATGATCAAATATCACAGAAAAATAGAGCATTGTTTTTGGTATGGTTATGTATAAAGAGAAAGTTTCCTGAAGCATTCTATACGAAAATAAAGTATCTCTGCCACTACT